TCGGAGAGAGCCAGCCGTCAGCAATAATTGACCACAAAGTCATGCCAGCCAAATACACACGGGAGCAAACGCCAGAAGGGAGGGGGTGATATTTTCCTTTTTAGAAAAACACAGTGGAGAAGAGAGAGAGAGAGGGAGTCACAGGCTCAAATCCTGTTCCACCTGGAGAGACATCTAAATGCTATTTAGCTGTCTAAAAGTGGATGCCTAAGTGGCACCAGGTTCCAGTTACATACATTTTTAGATCCTGTTTCCCCCGGCACCGTGAAACTTGTCATTCTCCAAATGCTCAGAAGGACTCCACTATGGGCATGGTTGCTTTGCTCAGGGGAGGCTCCAAGGGGGTGCACTTGCACTCAGAGACGGCTGTAGCAGGGTGCAGTGCAGGTGGGGGAGGTGAGCAGCCAGACACCAAGCCAGCCTGGCGATGCAGGGCCCCCCCAAAGCACAGGGCTTGGGGTAGTTGCCCCGATTCGTGCCCCCTAGGAAGGCCCTGCTTGCACCTCCCCTTCCCCCTTGATTCCCCCTCCACCCAAAGTTTGAAACTAATTGCCTAGCAGTGGCAGCAGCATTTCTAGTCAGGCAGCGCTGAGGGAGTCAATTGGCTTCGTGGCTCATCGTAATTTACCTGGCCCCTTCTAAATGCTTCTAAACCCTCTCCTCTGTTGAATGGTCTTGATGCTCCACCAGTCAAGCTAGCCTTCGTTCTGCAATTCTGCTGTATGTTAGTTGCTCCTGGTAATGAAGCTCCTATTTCACAGCCCCGCAGATTGTTTTTAACTCACTCCAGTGAAGTTATATTTGTTTTTGCTTCAATCTTAAACTGAATAATATGTCCCTAGGCCCTAGCATACAAGTAAAGCTTCTAGTTTGTGAAAAATGTGATGATGGACCTCACCATCTGCAGCCGCCTTTTGGAAAGTCTAGATCTGCCAGTGGCTTTGCTTGCTCAGAGAGGGCTTTAACCCACACCCCCTTGTCTCACCTCTCAGCTGGGAGATGGAGATTGAGCGCCATGGGAAGGTTCAGGACTGACAGGAGAGTTGCTCTTCAGTTCTCCTTCCACAAGACATTCAGGCAAATGAATAGACCTCTGTGAAATACCAGCCTTCTAGCTGTGCGCCGAAAAAAGGAAACCAGATTGAGATGAAATCCCGCATGATACGCTTCTTCCCTTCGGTGTCAAAAAGAAAGGTTCGGTAGGAATTTTTTTTTTAAGCTGCTTCAGAGAGTCTCAGCTCTGGCCATCTCAGGATTTTAAGAACAGCATGAGGCAAAGTGTTGTTTAATGCATGCCATAAATTGCTATTTGCTCTCGGAATAAGCAAGAAAGTCTCCCGCTGTCTGTGGAACACCTGCTCTGGGAGGCAGTGTGTAGTGGATTCATGTGCCATGAACAACAGACAATTGCCACCCAGGAACAGGGGATGGAGACCAGAGCCCAGGGCATTCGGTACTGAAGACAAGACACTAACCTATGCATTCAAAAGGCAGCTTCTGTCTCATGCATGTTCCTCCTGCTTTGGCATGGCATGGCCCAAAGTGGAACAATCTACAGCAGAGACAGCCAATGCATAGCTCAAAAGAGCCTACTGAAGACGTGTTACAGGGGTGTAGGTTGTAGCCGTGTTAGTCTAAGGACATAGGCAGACAAGGTTCTTTGGGTGAATCTGATCTCTTTTACTATACTAAGTTAGTCTAATAAAAGATATCAGATTCAGCCACAGAAACTTGTCTGCCTACTGAAGTCATGGGCATTAATGCTTAAAATGCTCCTTGCCCAAGTGTCAGCATTATGTATACATTTCCCTCATCTACTGGACAGCTGCCCAGAACCCACATGCTGGGCTGCACAAAATTTGATGCCAGTTCTCCTGGAGATGGGGATCCCCAGAAACTACTGGGGAGGGAGTACTGACACAACAATTGAGTGGCCTGTAGTGGACGAGAGCTAAGAACCTGGCCATTTTTAAGCCTACTCCATCAGTAACAAACTGTAATTGTATTTTTCCATAACCCTCCATTCTCATTTTTTTTTTAGCTTAAAATATGGGGGCAGAAGGGGAGGGGGGTGTTATGTTCTTGTTCATCAGTCCTTGGAAGATGCCTGTTCTCAGATCCTCATAATAGGATCTTTCTTTGCACACAAAGTATAAATTTGCTTGGAAAACAGAGGCCAACACTTTCTAACCCCTCCTCCCTCTCAAGAATCAAACCGATTTATCTGATCTGTTTTCAAAGCTGTTGAAAGCTCCCAGGTTTCATTGAGGTCAATAAGAACTTTAGCATCTCTGCAAATCAGGTTGCACTGAGCCCCTGATCACACAAACAATGAGGCCAGTGCTTATATTTTAAAAATGAACAGTCCCATTGCATATGCCACTGAAGTCATCCATCTTTGCAGAGATGAGACCTTATTCAGATGCCTAAATATAGATGTATCTAGGAGCCCTTCATTAGATACAGTGATGTGAAGAGTGCACATTTGAAGACTACCCTTGAAAAGGTCAAATCCCATAGTTTCAGCAGGTGCATTTGGATTTCAAAGCTGATAAAAGAAAATTATTTTAGGCACAGTCCATGACTGGTCTGTGGTACTCACTGTCTCGTAATAAATGATATAAATATAACTATCAGTCACAGTGTTAAATTAGCTCTTAAATATAGGGATGGTACTGGCTTAACAGTGAAATCTATCACTATAGTTCACATGCTGAGCTGAAAAATAGCTCATACCCATGAAGTGGTTGGATGTTCTGGGGCTACAAGGCCTACTATATTATTAGAGGGACTTAGCTGTATAGTTAACTCATCTGATGGGGGCTCATGATTAGATAGAGCTACTGAAGCCTGCATAGGCCCCTGGACAAGTTACATAACTTGTCCGTTTTCTTTCTTTAAAATGGAATAATATGCTTAGTGTTTTCAAACATGAAGGTAGGCTTCTAAGTTCATATTTGGCCACCTAAATGAAAGACTAAAGAATTGCTGAATAAACCCAAGTCCCACCTACATTTTCACATTGTTCAGATCATTTGAGGTTTCCTTTTTTTTCCCACAAAATCCTCTCCCTCTAAATTTCATACAAATCCTGCCCAACCAAAAGAACAAAAAAAGAAAAAAAAACAAAGGGCATTTTCAACCAGTTATCATCATTTGGTAAATGATTTTTGAATTAAATGTGCTGTAGCAGCAAGTATTACTGCGGTTGTACAGACCTAAAATTTTATCAAGGAGAGGATCTGCCACCATGATCATTTGATTGTTTACACGTATTTCTTTACCTCTTAGTCTGAATTAGTTTCCTTGGTGTTTGCTTTCTGTAGATGACAGTAGGACAGATGGGCTTTGCTGTCACCAGTGTTTGCAGTAAGCACACTTTAAACTCCTGCACTCACATACTTAGTTGCCTAGATTAAGTCCTGCTTTTTGCCACCTATTGTAAATGGGAAAGAGGAGGAGGAAACATCCTCTGTCTCCCTATCAACCCATTTTCTCTGACAGTGAGGAAATTGTGTACAGATAGGAGCCCACTTCTCAAGCAGAGTCCAAAGTTGCAACATGGTTTTCCTTGAGAAACATTCACTTTGCCCCGGATAAGAACTGTTTTGGGAAAGCGATCTGACTTATTGCCTTATTTAACAGCAAAATGACTACAAGTTGAGCCAAGGCACAAAAGGATCAGAAGATGTTATCTTGGCTTGGATCTCTTTCCTTTACCTTTAATGGATTTTTGCACTGCATTTGTGCTTTGTTTTCTTAGAACCATTTACTGTGACTGTGGTTTTGTAACAATTCACAGGAGTGATCACTGAATGTCTGAAGACACTTACTGGCCCAAACTGTAAATCTGTCCCAGGTGAGGTTATGAAAGCTCAAAGTGGGGCTTCTGCTTACCAAACCAATCATCACAGATCCATCTTTCCACATGTAAAAGGAACTCTGGGGTAGACTCGGAGCTACAGACGGTCAGGACAGGACGAAGGAAGTTCTGGGTACCAACTGAGTGGGAAGAGAAGGGAACCAACACAAGAAGCCAGGATCTGATGAAAATGATCACTCAGTTTCCAAGTCCCCCTGCACTCTGCTAAAACCGGACAGCCTAGAAGAGTGCCTACAGGGACAGGGCCAAACTCTACATGGGTACAACTCTGATGGAGTACTGCTTCTTTTCCCCACCAGGGGATTTGAACCTTAATGGAATGAAGATATGTCCACTAGGGACTAGACATTTACTTCCCCGTTACCACTGCAAATGCATAGTGTGCATGGTGGGCCAAACATACCAGGAGCAGTTCTCCCAAGGGGAATATCAGGAAACCCCATCTATCTTGTTAAGGAAGGTTTTTGAGAGGGAATTTTTGAGGTTGTTCTGGGCCTGAACCAAGGCCCAATGAAGCACTCCTGTGGGCTTTTCCCCTCTCACATTACCCTAATGAGGACCAAAAGTGGCAAAAGCCTGGAGGGGGCAAGTGAGGGGGGGAGCATCATCCTTTTTGTCCTCAGCACCAACTCTGAAGTCACAAGGGGTCTGTTACCGTGATCAGTCCAGCCATATATAAAAGGGAGATTATAAGAATGTCTGATATGAAAAAAACCACCCTCCAGCTTCCTAGCTGCCTTACACAGACCTTTTTCAGAGTCAGAAAAGACAGTGGAGCACATTGGCAGGGAGAGGGAGCAGGGTTGAAGTGAGGTCTCTGCCTGATGTTCCTAGTTTTGTGCTACCTTTAGAAGCAAATTTCCTTACCATCTGCCCCGGAGCCTCCTGACACCACTGTCACACTATGCCCACATGAAATCTCCCACACTCTGGTTCTATGGGGAAAACAGCCTTATCTTAAGTGAGGGCTCAGTATTTCACTGCTGTATCCTTGTGCCAGGGAAGACTCTGATTTTTCCTTTTATTGCTCTGATTCTCTAGCATTTGTATCATTTCAGGGTAAATCACATGATATTTCATCCACTACAACTTTGAGAAAGAAAGTTTGCTGACAGGGCAGTATGCATATTTTTAACAGCAAAGGTTATCTAAATGGTCACCACAAACAGCAAACAGTCTGTATAGCAGGCAAGTGGTTCATGCCATTCCAGTAGAGCTGTTCTGTTTGCAAGGTGACTGTCTGTACTGGGCAAGAATATGCAAGACCTTTATCACAATGAGCCCTTTGGCAAGTTTACTGCCATGAGAACTGCTGTACACATAGCAAGCCAGCATCTACCCAACAGAGAGAAGCTTCTTCTTGCTTGGGAGTCCTTTCAGAAACCTGGCGAACAATACAGCATGAATGGTGGAAGTATATGGCGCTTGCCCTTTGTCTCACTTCCTCCTGGAACTGTGGATTCCGGGCAGTGTCTGCTGGGCCAAGCTTCTGTTGCAGAATAATGTTAAAACCCTTTTAGTAAAATAAGTCATTTCTGTTCCTTCCTTCTTTACCTCCTGGCCTGCTCAGGCAGTGAAGAGAACTAAGATAAAAAGAAGACCAGGACTCCTTTTCCTTGGCTTCAGAGGGTGATTAGCTTGTCAATGAAAACAGCAAGCATAACAGGTAATGTACGCAGAAAAGGGATGTGTTATGTGCATTCCTGGCTCACTTGGAGGGGGCTGCAGCAGTAACAACTGTAAACCAAGCATTGTTCAGTATAGAGAACTTTCACAGAGGAGAAAGGGGGACTCACAGAGGAAGCCATGGGGGCACTTCCACTCAGCCCACAGCCACTTCCCCCAGGTTTTAGAGGCACTAGTGGGGACGGCACAGGCCAGGGAGTCTCTTGCTTGCCCACTATACTCTGTCCTCAGTTGGGTCTCTCCATGCCTGTTTTCTACCACTACAGAAGTGGCATATTGGTCCGTGCTGCCCTTGTAAGCAACATTAGAAGCTTCACTATGGTTTGGGAAGCACCCTGAGAATCTCAGACAGAAGGCACCGAGATAGGCGTTGTCATCGCATGCCACTCAGCACAGCCCTGAGGAGCAGATAAATGATCCTGGGGTTCCCTCTTTGACGACAGAGGCACAGGCAGCCAATGCACTCATTTCCCAAAGTTGTGTGTTCAAGTGCCACCACCAACATGGCACTTGGTATTCAGACCACATGAGCTGCGTGCAGGCACCCGGTCTAATTGGTTATGGCAGCAATTTCCACAAGACAGTGTGGACCACTAGCATGCAAATAAACTAGTGCTACCAGGATGGTACCAGCAATTCTCCTTGAACAGTCAGACATGGACAATGTTCTAGGGAACAATCAAGGCCTCCTTTCCTCAAAGTCTTTGTTTCCTTTGGAAAATCAGCATATTCCCTTTGCAGTCCTTGCAGGACCCCATTCCTATACACTGGAAGGCCTCTTTCATAGAGACTCACATTGAAGCAAAAGTCCAGAACCTCATGTTCAGCCTCTCAGTCTATTCCTGGGAAAAGATCATAAGGCATCAGTATGACCAAGTCCCAGATGGACAAGATCCACAGAACTGGCTTAATAGTCACAAGCAAATTCTGTATTCACTTCTCCCTTCTAGTTTCTGATTCTCCAAGGCACATACTGGAACAAGTTTTTCAAGCTTTTTTTTTTCTAGAACTAGGAGGCTTAGAGACTTTTTATGCTGATAAACCTGAGATTTTTATCTTATCCATCCAGGAGCAGGGCTAGTTCCTGAAAATCACTGAACAATGCAATAATCGCGTGCCAGCAGTTGGCAACCTTAATGTGGGAACAACACAGCTTCAGATATGGGATTCCGAAACAGCTTCCCAATTTCAGCCCCTGGAGTCTGACCTGACTTTTCACAGCCAAGGAGTTTGGTCAGCATTTGGGGTTTTATTCTATTCCACCATGAAGTTAGGGTAGAATTCTGGGTTTTTTGTACATGCAGTTTTGGTTTAGGTCCATCTCTAGTGGGATGCATAAAAAGGGAGGAGGAGGGAGAAACATCTGATATGATAAGCGGTGCAAATTCTTCTTCCTTTGAATGAATGCCTCATTTTGGGGATGAAATAGATTCTCTGAGGCCTTGTACAAAAAAATCCTTTCACAACCTACAGTATTGGAGACAATAATGCAGCCACAGCTCTCCAGCGGGCTCTCAGTCGCCGGCACAGTGGGCATCTCTACGGGTTTACACTTCAGGAAACATCACTTGTCAGCAGTGGTGGCAGGAGGGCATCACTTCTCGGTGGCGGTGGTGGGGTGATGGAATTCTTTCCCTTCCTCCTCCACGGGAATCATGACATCGTTTCCTGGGAACGATTCTGTCTCCTGCTCTGGATAGTGCATTGCCCCATCTGTTTCCACTGGGTTTTCTTGGGCCTCAGCATCACTGTCATACCCTCGAACGGCACAGTTCTTGCCTCCGGACACTTCCGAGATGGAGCCCACAATCACTGTGTCTGCTTTCATGATGTAAATTTTCTCTACATAAAGAAGCACAAGGGCATTAGTACTGAGTAGTGTTTGCCATCATATCTGTTGCTAACCCCAGCAGGTTCCTTCAGAGCCCCTGAGCTGATATGCCCCAAAGTGCAGAGGTATATAGTTCAGGCCCATTTAGCTGCACTTTCCCCTTGGATAACTGGTTACACTGGGGTAGGGATGCCCTTTGAAAAGTGCTGCAGTAATTATGAAGAGTCTGTCTGGGGATGTTTCTAAGGCTCTGTTCATTTAGATCTGAGCACAGCATGGGACGGGGGCAATAAAGAAGGGCCCCTTGAACTATTCCTTTTGGACTAGTGTCACATGGTCACTGGTCCCTTCCAGTAACATAGGCCCGATCTCTGGTGGCAGTAGCTTTATTGCCCACTTCTCAAACCCAAGCCTTTAAAAGGAGACTGATGACTAGCACAGAGCCTTCCTCACTGCATGCACGCTTAGAAACGAAAAGACCGCTCCACTGCCTGACTGCCTCACAACAGCCAACGCCAAGGCACTGGTGTCCCTGTGGCTTACAGCAGGGTCCAGCAGAGACTTATCTCTTCCACATGTACTGGAAAGGCTGTATCTGCAGCTGGGGTATATTTGGGTCAGGACAGTGGAGCTGGCAGAAAAGTGAAAGTAGGAAGAGTAATGTCATCTTAATAACAGCTCGGCAGGCTGTGGAACACGCTCCCCGCACTTAGGCACACAAGGGTTTATGGGATCCGCATCTAACTGTGTGAGAGAATCCAGCTTGTGCCAGACTTGTATTCTGCTCCCCCCATTTTCAAAAAACCCACTGGCCTCACCGATCCGGTTATTAGTGTGGTCCCTCACACGAGCATCAACCGGGCAATCTAGGGAATTTCCGCTGCTCTGGTTCACCTCAGCCAGACTCAGCTCAGGCCCATGAGTTTTCTCTGTGCTGGAAGGCGAGTTGTTGTTGGTTTCCATGTTGGGGCTGCTGGTAATTAGCTCCCTCTCTTCTGGCCCCTTTTCAGCTTTCAATATACTGATTCTCCTCTGTTGGTAGAAAAAGGAAGTTACCGGGGTGAATATGCTACATAACATCCTCGATACCAAAAGGGTGATGACTTGCTGTAGCTACAGAAACAGGTCAGCCACAGTGAGAATAATATTCAGAAATAGTAAATGCCTGTCATCAGGGTGGGTGAAATTCTCCCAAGTGTCCAGGTGACTTAGGAACCATTGTCCCATTGCAGATATGCTCCTAAATCACTTCAGGTGGCTTTACTCAGATACTTACAGATGCAGATAGACTACTAGTGATATTGAGGGAAGAGACGATGAATATTTGGCACATAATTCCCCCTGAATGCAACCCTTTGGAACCAGTTTACATGCTTTTTGTGCCTCTCCTAGGAGTCTATAAGCATCTTTTGGTAAACCTCACCCATCAGCATTTTGCAGGTATCCCCCCAATCTAAAAGCATTTTATACATATAATCAAATCAACCCATGGCACATTTTTCTTTTTAGCTCACAAGTAAACCAATGCACAGAAAATCTAAGGGCATGAACTGAAAAAAGGACCAAAAAACCTCAAAACAACCTATAGCAGGAGAGGCCAGGTCTCCAGGCTCATGCCTTTACTGCAACCCTGGATACACTAAGCATACTACACAATTTTAAAGCAATAGTAGGTCCAGCCTGGCCTGCACAGGGTTGTGGCATATACAAGGCAGACA